TTATATCTATATGTAAGATCGATGATTCATCTTATATCAATACTAATTGAACCCTCATCAAACTAAATCGTTCTACGAGATATTTTTTTTGTCTATAAAAATATTTTTGCTGAAAAAATTCTCTAGAATAATTTAATCGTAAACCAGAATATGGTTACATAGAAAAAGTAAAATGAATTCATATACACAAACATGAAAATTATATAAGCATAAGAATTAGCTCGAAAATGCATAAATCTTTATTCTCTCTTTTTATATAAATTCATTTAAATAAAAAAAAGGAAGAAGAAAACGTTAAATAGTAATAATGCCCCTAAAAGGGTCAAATTTCAGATGCTCATCATTTGGGATCTTATGGGCCATATAAAACAAATTTTAACATCATTTGCTTCTGCTTGCCTTAAATGGGAATTTCAGAAACTAAAAAAAATAAAAATAAAACAATTGATGTTGATCTCTCTGGGTCTCCTTACTTCTTATGAGATGAATATATATAATTATTATTTTGGGCGTCCTCAAGGCAGTTTGGTCGGAATAAACCCCACCAGACATAAAACCCTTACCTAATTCTTCTACCAAAGTAATAATCATGTATTGTCACGCTCATTCAATACTCTACGACATAGTATATAGCCCACAAAACCACATATGTATCTTATCTTGTCCTGCAAACATGCAAAAGCCAACGCCAACGCCTTAATTTCACTTCAAGCAAATTATGAGGAACTAAGATAAGATAGTTTGATAGTAACAAACTACTTTTACACTGCTACTAATGTTCTTGAGTATTAGACAATGATAAGAAAGGAAAAGTACATAACTACGTGAGGAAAATAGGAATAATTATGATGAAAATATTAAAAAAAAAAATTCAAAATTAAAATTTTATGTTGTTGTTCCATGTCAAATTCTTTTTATAATATCTCCAAATTTTTTAAAGAACGAGAAAATTGTTAAACTTACTCTTAGAGTGCAATGAGTCTGGATTTTTACTCCTTAATTATAATTAATACTTTTTTAATTAATATAGTTATTTGATTAAAAAGAGTATTAATTAAAAATAAGAAGTAAAAATTCACACCCACATTTATCTCCTTTTTCCTTAAATTCACCACATTTATCTCCTTTTTCCTTAAATTCACCGTCGAATTTATTCAATATTCTTTTCTCAAAAAATTCTCAAACTAATCCCCTCATCTTTCTTACTCCTATATTTCCAACCTCATATCCTAAATTAGATATATACGAATGAACTCTGAAAATTGAATTTGTTGGTTTTGGGATTTTATTTTGATGCTACAAGGAACAGCACATTTACGAATTTTGGATACCAAATGGTTTGACATTAATATCTATTTTTTAAAACCTAAAATAATAAACAAAATTATATGCGTACCTACAATAAAACCTCTATAAATAAATATTGTTGGGACTAGAAAAAAATTTTATTTTAAAAAGATTATTTATTTATTGATAAATACATAATTTATTAATTAATCGGTAAATGAATAATTTATTAATTTATCGATAAATGTACTTTTTTTTAAACTAAGATTCATGCATGAGCTATAAATAACAAAGATAATGATATGTGGTCAAAAATTAATATGTGTACATAGAGAATTGTAAAAGTTATCATATACATTATGGTGAAGAGATTATTTAAGGGATAATGGATATGCCTGTTGATGTTGATCATGATGCAGATGATAGTTGTGTTTTACCAAATGTTTTTCTAAAAGATGTGTTTCAAGTAATAGTAATCTTAAATAACTACTTGCTACAACATGAAAAAGAATATACCAGATGTAGTGCATGCTCTGCAAAAAAATTAAAGACGAGATTGAGTTCAATTTAGGTACAAAGAAAAAACAAATGACTTTAGATGCATATTTTATAAAAAAGTTGAATTGAGAAAATAGAAATTGTCAAGAAAAAACTCTTTAATATTCTGAGGTAAATATGCTTTTTTCGTCAATTATAGTTATATTTTTGTTAGGCCCTGAAGGATTTGAAAAAAATTATTATCTTATGCATTTAATAAGATTATTAATTTAGTACATTGGCCCGAGTCGGGACCAAAAGTTTTTATTATTTAAGCGAGGTTATTAATTTATCGAATATTTATTTATCGAGGTTTTACTGTATTATTTATAAGAATTGCTTAAAGCATTATTTTGTAATTGCGGACATTTAGCGGAAATCTCACTGTAATATGTAGAGTTTAAATCCTTCTAATTTAAATTCAAAATAAAACAATACAAACAATCAATACAAATAAATAATTATTTTTATAGATGGTGAAATTGATACTTACATGTTAGTGCCTAGTGGATATTTACTCAATCAAAACAGTTGTATAAACTTATAGCTATAATCCTACTAAAAAAAAAAAAAAACTTATAGCTATAATCACGGAAACATTTTGTAATCCAGCGGCTAACGTTTTACTAAAATTAACTGGGACCGCTTTTTAAATTTACGTCTACTCATTATTATATCTAGAAGACTACCAAGATGCATTTTAAACGCTTATTGAATTCTTAAAGGGAAAACGTTTATTTTAATTAATTACCAACAACTACTTCTTAACTATCATGGAATATATTTCCAAACAAAAAAAAAAATCATGGAATCTAGAAAAAAGTATGGATAAAAAAGTAAGGATATATGTAGATATGTATATATGATAAAATTTTAAAAAAGTAAGGATATACGTAGATATGTATATATGATAAAATTTGTATATTTCATCATTTAAAGACAAAATTTTGTATATTTCATCATTTAGTGGATATCTTTCCCTGTAAAATCAACTGATTTTGTTAAATCGGTCTTTAGAATGGATAAGTCTCTATGTCAGTAGCTGGGATTGTGGCAGAAATTTTGGAATATTAACTATTATTTTTGTTGGAGTGGATAATCGCAATGCAAGTGATATACATAAATTTCAACCCAAATCGCTAACATAGCGGGATTACGATCCTATATATACGTGAAGACCATCAAATTCTGCTCAATCTTTTTTTTTTTAAGGATAAAATTCTTCTCAATTTTATCGATCGGTTAACGCTCTAAACAATCCTTTTTTTTGATAAAAACATTCAATTAACTAACTAATTGAGAACACGAACCTTTTTTTTTAACAAAAATGAAAAACGTAGATTAATATATATTAACTACACGAGAGAGAATTTTTAATTTAACATGAACTAGAAAACGACTTACACTAAATTTTGAATTTTTTTTTTTTGAAAGAAAATTTTGAATAAATAAATTATATATTTTCGTAGTTTTGTTTTGGACTTATCTATGATAGAAAGCCTAGGGTTACGGAAAGAAAACTTTGAAAAGATCGGATTGCATAACGTTTCTAGCGCATTTTCTTTGAAAAGAATGAAAAAAAAAATGATAAAAGTAAAAGCTTCTTTGAGTTGCTTTTGGCGAGTGTGTGTGTGTGTATATATATGTATATATCTATGTATATATGAATGAAAATCTTATTAGTTGCTTGGTTGCATGTTTGAAGCCATTTGGAAGTTATAGATCATTTTATCTAGACATAAATACACATATGTGTCAAGTATATGAGAAAAATTTCTATTTGAAGAAGAATATTCCAAAATGCCAAAATAATTCACGCATGCACAAAAAAGAACAAAAAAAACACTGAAGATCTTTTTGGAGGCAGTATATATAGTACGTAGTACTTTGGTTCTTTTGTAAGTGCTTATTGAACTGGAAAAAGCAGTTCTCGAGCTGTCATCTTGAGAGCGGATGATATTGGAATACAGACTGAACAAGTAACTCATGATCAATTTCGTTCAATTGCTATGTAATGTGTGTTTGATTTCAAGGAATATATAATATAATATATATATATATATGCGCATAACCAACTTAATTCTCCATAAATATTGAAAAGTCGTTTTGTTGTGGTCCTGTATATATCTTCTACTTGTAGTACCGAAATCATTTCGACAGTGAAATTGCTTGCAAGCCAGCAGTTATATATGTGTACATATAAAAAAGAAAAAGAAAAAGAAGAAAAGTGATGATACAGTCAATAATATTTGGGTTGGAAAATATATAACTCATTTCAAAGTTTAAGTATTATAAGACAAAACTTAATCACTCAAATAGCAAGCTTGATCACGAGCACGGGAGAGAAGGAAAAAAAAATATAAATTTCATTTATGATTAGAAGTCAATTTTTTTTGTTTGTTTGTATGTTTGACCCAAAACACACCCCAAAACCCTTCCAAAAAAACCCTAGCTGGAAATGGGAGAACCAAAATCTGCAATGCAGTTAGGGCTACAACTAAGAGAAAAAAACATTAGTCTTATACTCTCATATATGTGTCCACCCCATGACCCCCAATTGAAAAATATAGGTTAAAACACAAACCAAAACATTTGGTAGAAACAATACCCAACAACATACTCTCTGCTATAACATACAATACTCGATCTCATCCTGCTGCCGGCGACCGCTTGATTTGTTTCTCCTCAATTTCTTTCCCCCCTAAAATAAGTCATCATATTTGTGCCTAATTAGAGAAAAATGGTAATGTACAAGATGTACACAACTACTTCATGAGGTCCCCCCGCCCCTCACTTGCAAAAACAACACAACACCATTCTTCTTTCACTCTCAAACGTTAATTCTTAGCCTAGCCCCTTCCCAAGGGTGGCATAAAACTAATGTAGATATTGGTGTATGTCAATTTGGTACTCAAAAAGGGATCACTGATATAACTGATCTCTCCCTTTTTCTTTCTTTCTTACTTTCTTTCTTGCTTTTCTCTCCTTTTTTTCCTTCAACTTTTCCATTCTCCCTCAGTTGGAGGAGCACAAGGAGATTTATGGAATCCACTTTACTAAGCTTCAACTTTTTAGCCCCCTTGCCGGTGGCACCATAAAAAATCTCCCTTCCTCCAAATCAATCATCAAGTGAAAACTTTTTTTCCCTTTAGTCAAAATCTCTTTTCTTGGTTGCTTATAATTGGAAACAGCATAAACTGATCGATATTAGTGATGATCATGATGAGAAGGCTGTTGTAAAGGGCGTACAGTGCTTGGCCTCGGCTTTCCAACACCGTTCAATGTCTTCTGCAATCCTTTTGGCGTCCATTGATGCCCCGAGCAGTCCACGCTTTGTGAACCCCACGGCGTATAGCCCACATTCGCCTTTCCATCCATTCGGAAATGGCCTTTTTGGCAATCCATCTTCTTTCGAAAACATTTGTCCCTCCTGCAAATCCAACCCCATATCTCATCAACATGCTTTCTTTTCAACTCAATCAATCTATTCGTGCTATAAAATAGGCACGTAAATATTACACGAATTTCTACTTGCGGAAAGAAATACCTAAGAGTAGTACATGTTTATTAAATGTTTAAAATAAAGTGTGATGGATTAAAAACAATCATTTAATCATTTTTTTTTCCTTTTCCTTTTTACCTACAACATAATCCCTTATATATATATATATATATATTGTTATATTTAGTAAAACGAAAAATAAACCCTAGCGAGCAGGACTATATTTAGAGGATGTTTGGTATCTAGATTCGTTTCCTGATTTGTGGTTCACTACAATATTTTCTCTCACAAAAAATACACGTAAATCAAAAATAGTTCTAATCACATGGTTTTAATCCATAAACCAAACGTCTCCTAGTTCCTTCATGGTAAAGAAAGTAGTGGAAGTTTGGGAAAGGTAGGTAAAGTGGGGGGAAGTGAGGAAAGTAGTGAGCACCTTTAGCCAAGAGGGTACGTTGCTTCTATAACCTGTTGCTAATATGATTGCATCAAATTTCTCCGTTATTCCATTAACAAATTCCACTGCATGACGTTTTAGCCGCTTGATGGCCGGAAATACCTACATGATCAGCGGTACAAAACTCATGATTAGTACACAAACTATTTGTTGAAAGTTGACTATCGAATTAAAGAGTAAAAAACAAAAAACAAAAAAGGAGAAGAATAACGCCCACAAAGGACAACTAGAATTTAATACATTTTCCTACCAAAGTTGGAAAATGTTCACATTTGTATGCATATAAATAAAACTATGTGCCTATACACAACAGTTGTATTTAGTAGTGGAGAAATATTATACCAAAAAAAAAAAAACAAACTAATTCAAGAACATCATGATTTCATCTTTAGTTTTATTTTTTATTTTTTTTTATTTTTAAGAGGCGTCATCAGAATTAAGTTACAGTGCGCCTACGATCACCATCATATCGTTTGATTCTCGTACCACAAAATCAATAAAAAAAGAAAACAAAAGTAGTTGTCAAGGGAACCCAAAAACAAAAGAGAAAAGAATGGAAAAATCAACCAAAACAAAACAAAGAGGAAGGGAAAAAAAGTGAGCTGACTAGTTAGGAGAGTACTTTAATGTCGCCACTTTTGATCTTGGCCAGCGTCCCAACGTCTAAAACTGGGGTCTTTCCGGACAAGTTCTTGAGCTCTAGGGGACCCAACACCGGCCGGTCTAATCCGAAGCGAGAGGTGTCTCCGAGTAGTAGCCACGACACGATTAGAAGGAAGCGATCGACAAGTCGTATAGGAAACCACTTGAGCAACCACATGGACAGCCCAAAAGTTGATTTTCCCAGCATCTCTCGTGGTAGGATGTGTACCTTAAAAAAATGTAGAACCACAAAAAATTAGTGGATTAATTCTACAGTGGCCAAAAAAATATTATACCTATTAACAAATATTTAAAAAATCACGATAGTAAAAGTTCAAAATTTTTCGATTTTCATCAAATATACATACTTTTCTTAATCTGATTGATAACAAAAATAAAATATAAAACAACCTAGATAAAGTGAAATCCAAAAACTTAAAAAAAGTGATACATAGAAAAAGATGGGAGTAAAAAAGTTGGGGTTGAGGTGGAGAGAGGAGGGTCCCTTTGTTTGCTAGTTGCCATGGGCAATTGCTTTCTTCATGGTGCACTAAGAGGCCGGGTTTTTTCTTTTTTCTTTTTTTTTTCTTTTTTCTCTCTTTTTTTCTTGAGGGAAAAAAAAGGTGTGGGAATTCTAAAGCAAAAAATAAAAGGGTGTGAATGATTATGACAATATAGAGAAGATCCTACGTTTCTGACGAATGTTACGCATGCTTTGGAATCCCAAGAATGTGAAAGAAAAAGGATATTTGTTTTTGCCAAAAATAGGGTTTTAATGTGGAATCATAGTCTATTGTGTGCTTGAGCAAAAACCGTTTTGGAACTTGGAGTCAGTTGCTGGCTTGCTGGCTTGCTGGCTCTTTTTGTGCGTGTTTTTTTTTTTTTTTCAAAAAAATAAGTCAGTAGCACCCAAAAGTTCAAAAAGTATTTTGTTGCCATGAAAGTGGAAACAAGTTGCTTTTACGTTTTTGCTGAACAATAACAACCAATATGACAGTGAATTAACTACATATAACAACCCAATTCTCAAATAGGTTTTCCCTAATATGTTTTTAGTGCCGCAATTTTCATTCAAAGTAACAATATATATATATATATATATATTGAGGATACCGGAATTAACCCCATAGTTTGAAAATTTTGGAGAAAAGGGAATGCTAAAAAAAATATGAATTTCAGAAACAAATTAAACCATTAATGTATTCCTAAAAGTAGTAGGGAAAAAAACCAAATACCATGTATCAATAAGGATCCAATTCTTCAAAAAAAAAAAAAAAAAAAAAAAAAAAAGGAAAACTTCCATCCAAATTACAAAACCCCTTTAATATTCTCTTATTAAATCAACAATTCTAAACCCAAAAGCGCAAAATTATTTTCAGAACTTCAGAATTTGATCATGAATAAAAAAAAAATATATATATATATATAGAGAGAGAGAGAGAGAGAGAGAGAGAGAGAGAGATAGAAAAAGAGAGAGAGAGAAACAGAGAGAAAGAATTGTAAACAAAGTCAGTAGTACTCCTAAAAGAAATAATTAACATGAGGGGAAGGAGGGGTAAAAGAGCAGTTAAAAATGAAATTAAATTAATTTGACTTACTTTGTCCCTAACCACAAGAGAAGGGCTAGCATTATGATTGCAGAGATCCAAACAAACCTCCATCCCTGAATTCCCACATCCAACCACCAAAACCCTCTTCCCTTCAAACTCTTGTCCACTCTTGTAAAGGCTTGTGTGCCTTATGTCCCCAACAAACTCCCCTATCCCCCCTATCTCCGGCACCACCGCCTCCGCATTTTCCCCCGTCGCCGCTATCACCCACCGGCACAAGTATTCCGTCTCCACCGCCACCTCCCCGCCACCGCAACCGAAACCCTTGTTGTAATTTGTACTAATAGTACTAGCAGCAGTAGTAGTAGTAGTCCTCACGCGCCAGAAGCCGAGCGTGGGGTCGTACTCGGCGGACGACACGGTCTGGTTGAAGCGCGGGGAGATGCCGAATTCGGCGGCGTAGTCCTCCAAGTACTGCACGAACTGGCTCTTGGTCGGGTATTTGGGAAAGTCGGCGGGGAATCCCATGAAGGGGAGCTCGCAGAACTCCTTGGGCAAATGGAGGCGCAGCCGGTCGTAGGTCTTGAACTGCCAAAGGGACGCTATGCAGTTGGATCTCTCTACGATCACGCTCGGCACCCCTTTCCTCTTCAGGCACGCCGCCACCGCCAGCCCCGACGGCCCCGCCCCGACTACCACCGGCCCCGGTACGTACACGCGCCTCCGCGACGAGCAACAATCCATATTCTTTCCCATTTTCTCTATCAGAATTGGATCATGCGCTCTTTTCCCTTCTATTTCGCTCATGTAAAAGTCCATGTGGATCAATGATGATGAAGATGATACAAAAATTTGATGAGAATATAGTTTTATTTTGGTTTTTTTTTTCAAATATTAAAAAATGAAAATAAATAGTAACAACCCATTTGAGAGGAGGGTAAAAAATTTCCCTTTGTAGTAGTACAAGTATACTAATAACTACTCTTCTCTTCTTATCTGTATGAAAGAGCTCTTTCCTTGATTTCTGGAGTGGATTAGGAGAGAATTATTATCCACATGTGATCAGAATGAGTAAAATTTTTGAGTGATTTTTTTTTTTTTTTTTGGGGTGGATTCTTCGTGTGTAGTTTCAATGTGTGGGAGGGTTAAGCGGAGGTTGAGCAACAACTACGGGGCTATATCAGCATTCAAGGGAAAGAGAGAGAGAGAGAGTGAGAGAGATGGCGATATGCCTATTTATATTGTTTCTGTTTTTCTATCGTTGAAGAATTTATACGAGGGAATTTAGGCCAACTGGTAAAGAGAAGTAACAAGTGGGGTCATCCATATACAACATTTAAATAAATTTAAATATATATTAAAAAAATACTCCTCCAACAAAACAAAAAAAAAAGAAAAAAGTGTGAAATTTCACATCTTTATTTATTTAAATTAAATATCATAATTTAACCATATATACATATATATATATATATGTATGTATACTCTCACATAAACGTCGCCGTTCAGGAAATTGGAAGATAGCAATTAGAATTCATCATCATGCGATCGTGAGTGGACCATTATTGAGAGATTTACTCAATAAGACTTCTGTTAGGAGACAATATCTCTAGATAATAATTATCTGCTTAGGGATAAGTAGTCAATAATCTAGAAGATTAGCAAATAGTACCTGTCAAAAATTAAATTATAAAACCACCATAAAAGGAAAAAGGGGAAAAAAAAAAAAAGCAATAGCAGTATGATCATATATTTTCTCATTGGATGATATAGGAAGAAGAGTAGAAGACCCAACTTGGGCCGAGGTGGAATATGAATTGTATCCAAGATGTCGTGCAACTTTAATATTTGGGTTATCTTAATTAATACCATGGTGAAGCAAAAATTTCACAGTCATAACCCAAAAAATAAGAAATTTGAAATTCCATCAAGTTAAACTTAAATTAAGATATATTGGCAAAAAAAGAAAAAGAAAAAACAGTTATTTCATTATTATTGTTGTTGTTATTCTTTAATTTTTTTTGGAGGTGGGATGGGATATTTGAACTCTATTTCCAAATTAGCAAAATATTTGAATTTTTCAAAGCACGTGTGGTCATATATATTAGGATCTAGTGAATGGGTGAGTTAATACATAATTTATTTCTCTTGGCTCCCTTAACTTCCGTTTTGAATTAGAATTTCATGTATGTTGAAACTCGAGTATCATTACATTTAATTAACATAATTGATAGTCAAAGGAGTACGGCTGGGAAATGGAATTAATGATCTAAATGACAGTAGTGACTTACTTAAGTGTGGTTAGGATATGGTCATACAGCATTGCAATTATGGATGTTGAGGTGGTATTGGGACATCGCTTAGAAACGGGCAAGTGATTGTACTATAGCAAAAGGGTTTTTTTTTTTTTTTTTTTTGAAAAAAACCTCATTGCGGTGACAATTATATTAAGAAAAATAATAATTAATTGAGTATATTTTCCGTCAAAAAAAATAATAAGACAAAGATATAACAGATAAGTTCCATAATGGTTTTTTTTTTTTTTGGTATAGCACACAAAATACCTTGTTAGTAATGAGCATTTGTGCATTTTGAACCCGATCAGAAGCATCTTCAATAATGCTAAAGGTTAAAATTTAGTAGTGGCACGTGATTAAAATAAAACTCTGTGTGATTGAACACGTATTTAAAAAAAAAAAAAAAAAAAAAAAAAAAAAAAAAAAAACAAGAAGAAGAATACGCCAATGGAAATTTAATCCTCAGTGTGAATGAATAAGTCATGAACAATGAATGCTTCAGCAACAAGAAAAAAGAAAAGGGAAAAAAGGAACACCAATAAATCTTAAATTCAGTTTGAAGTGCCAAATAAGTGAAATAAAAATTAGAGGTAGTTTTCTTACAAAATTGAGGATACAATGGTATATTTAAATTGTTGAGCGTTGACGTGGTTATAATCTTTCTTTGGAAGTGGAGTAAACTAAAAGTTTTAAAGACTTTTAGGGTTTAAAAATCAAAATTTTAAATAATAAGTGGGGCACGTGTTATCACTTAATTTCTCGTGACTCTGATATATGATTACCCAACTAGTTGAAAAGAAAAAAAAAAAGATGATTATTGCATTTTTTTTTTCTTGAAATTAGCCGGTAAATTTGAACTTTACATTAATTTAAGGTGGAATTAGATGATTAATATCGCATTTCGTGCATCATACATAAAACTCTATAGCACATTATTGTACTTACAGGACTTTTCTTGGTGCGTTTATTCTTTATTAACTTTTGCTATTGAGAAGCCAGGTCTATATATATAAATTGGTTTCTTTACGATCGAGCAAAAAGTAAATAATAATAATAATCTGCTAGCTCCAAAGTACAACAAAAGACACCAATTATAATCTATTGGTAGATTTGCAACAACAATAACTCAGAGCCAGCAGAGCAGATCAGACCCTCCAACCGTACCTAATCATTGGAAAATATCAGCAAAAGCTCTATGGAAATGAGGCTCCTATGCATGTGTTGATGACTTGGAACAAATAGGGCCACCCTTGAACAAAGACAATCTTGCTTAGCTAGTTGGTTAATTATTAACTTCTACACCTTCATGAGAAGAAGTCTTAGACTCACTCATTGGTGACACAGCCTCATAATTCCCATGCTCATTCAAATTCTAGCGGCATAATAATTATATGTTAAGAGTATTTAGCAATTTCGCCTTTTAACTTTTCGATGATTTGGCAAGTTACTCTCTAAACTTTAATTTTGAGAAGTTCTCAATAAAGTTAAAAAAAAATATTACGAAGTGCTCTATATCAATGATAATTGCTAAAATTAGGACGAAAATAGATAATCAAAGATTGAAATTTTAGATGATAATAAAGCATACCATGTCACTTGTATGCCGATATTTTCTTATGAATTTAACGTCTTTTAGGGTGCGTTTGGAGCAAGGATCCGTGTCATAGTTCGGATCATGATTTGTGACTCGTTGCAGTATTTTTTCTCATAAAAAATACACATAAACTGAGAATAATTCTGAATCTATAAACCAAATGTCCTCTTATCCAAAGCTAATAATTTTTCACACTAAAAACTTAAAGAGACAACCTGTCAATCACCAAAAGTAAAAATACCTTAACTATATTTAACATAAGTCTGGTAGAAAATATCTCGGTAGTGTACAATATTTCTAAAAATGTCTAATAGTGTAGTTGTGTATATTTTTAAAATCAAATTAACCTAAAATTCTAAATTTTTTTAAAGCAAAATTATATATCTTATAATGAAAGATATATACGCGCATACGAACAATATTATTAGGAAAAAAAAAACATATGATTATTTACTATATTGACAAAATGAATGTAGTATTTATATAACACCACAATTGCATACGAATTATCTGGTAATTCTAATGCCACAAAAATTGGTCTCATTTTCAATCGACTCTTTACAAAAGGCTTTGTAAATTAAATAATTAGATTGTGCCCATAGAAGTTATAAAATTCTCATCCTTGAATGAATCGAGATCAGGACTATGAAAAGAACCAAAAGAAATGTTAGTGATTGGGTTTGTCAGTGTGCATGCGAATTTAAAAATACCATAAGTGTTTGTAGAAAGTTTTATTGAACAGCTTTTTGAGAAAATCATGATATATAGGAGTGTCATCCGTGTCATATAGGAAATACTATAGTTCAATTTTAATATTTTATTGTTTTCCTCAAACTTATATTCTAGCTTGGAACGATGAATCATTACTGCTGAAGGGGGAAAAAAATTCTTACCATGTTCTTCAAACTACTGTATTTTTAGTAGATTACGATTGTTGTTTAATTTTTAATTTATTGTTTATTCCTTTCGTTGTACTTTTGGATGCTTTCTATAATAGGGTATATTCAAATCAGCAGTGCATGTATCTAAACATATTGACAAAAATTACAATAAAAAAATGAAAACCTAACAAACTCTGACAATATATCTATAATTACGTTATATTTGATCAAAATCAATCAAAAGTTAAGAAGTATACAAAAGTCGTGATAGAATTCAATATAGAAATTACGATACGGAACAAAACCTTACCGAATGAGGTATTTTTTCGTGATCTACTATATCAAATTAATCTATATAAATTGTTTTTGATAAAACATATTGATCTATCTTTGTAATATGAATAGAAAGTAATTCCTGTTAATTCTTTTTGACGCGGGGGGGTGGTTAATTTTGGCGCCATTGAGAGAGCCATTGTATGGTATCATGTACAATGCTTTGTACAATAATTAATGAGAAAGTTTGAGTAGGTGAGAAAAGAGATTGAGAATCTAATGGCACTTCTTTAAGTCCGTAGTCCTTTGCAATAATGCACTGTAGTAATTATGCCACTAATATAAATATTCTTTTAGGCAGCTCAGCCAGAAGCCCCTTAAACACCTACTTATCAACAACAACAACAACAACAACAAAAAAGATCATCACCAGGCAGCAGTAAATGTACTACCAATATTGGCAATCCCTCTTTTTTCCGCCATCATTTGCCACTTGTTTGGAAGGCATTAATTTTGAACTATCAATTTTTTAATTCCATCATATGCATATATAGCTTTTTTTATAGTTATATGAATAGTCTAAATATTTTATTATGATCTATTCTATGTTTTGAAGAATGCATTTTCAATTATTGTATATTGGATATGCTTTTTTTTGTCTAGATATAATCATATAATTTCCACTTGTTAAAAATCTTTTTTGAACTATGACCAATTTTTTTTAATTCCATCATATGCGCAGTTTTTCTTAAAAAAAAAAATAGTGGTTGTATG